TGGTCACGTTTGAATTGGGCCGGGCCCGGCCCCTGTGTGAGGTGCTCGAACCCACTCCGGCGGGGAGCTCGGATAATCCTGCCGACCATTGTGTCGCGGGCACAACAATGGAAACGGGACCGACACAATGAAGATACTAATAACGCGGGATTGTGGACGTTCCCCGGCACAGAGTGATCGCCGCAGAATGTTTTTGTCTTTTCGTCAGCATTTGGAGTTAGTTGTTCGAATTAATAGGACGCATTATCATTTCCGTTCCTTCTACGGTTTCATTTTTGTAAAGTTTTATCCCATTTCCGGCTCATATTTTGTAGTAAATTGCTCCCGAAAACACTAGGATGATAGCCTTGGCTTTGGTATAATTAAACTCGACCGTTGTAGTATAATTAGGCACACAGGAAGTCTGAATTGGTGGGGGACCTGTCCTGGCGCGGGCACGCACGGTGGTGGATGGGTTCGATGCGGCGAGTTATCCTCGAAGGACCGAGGGTCAGGTGGTGTTCACCTTGCCTTAGTTCTCAGGCTTTCTCTAGAGGAGGCACATCCGGTCTAGATCTGCCCCTGTTCCAGTGTTTGTTACGGCCAGTAGACGTATGATGAAGTAATAAATCCACGACACAAAAGCTGATGGACGTTAGTTGCCAATCAGACTGTCCTAATAACGACGCTGCCGTTCGGTGGTGACAGGTCCTTCCAGACCATTCGCTCCCTCGCGCCTGCAGCTGCGGGTGGTGTCCAGTCGCGGCCGGCCGTCTGTCAATAATAGGCCCCCGAGGAATGTGGGCGCCTCACTGGCCCCATAACTGTCACCTTGTTATGACTGCCCGGTCCAGGGGGACGGCGGCGCCGGCCCGTCAGGCCTGTCCTCTCCTCTCCTCTCCATCTGCCGACCGGCGGTCCGCGCCCCTTCTGAGCCCCTCCCGACCCCCGCCGGCCGGGCCAGGGCGGAATTCACAGCCCTTTGTCCGGTCGGACGTCAATTTTACGGTGTTTATTTACGCGCGGCACGCTCGTGGATAGGACAAATTTGAGCCGTCTTTTTGTGCCTTCTCGGCGGAGCTGTGCGGTCGGCCGGTCGGGCCTGTTTTGATGAATGGACTCGCCACTCCATTCAGCGCCGGGTCTGCCCGCTCGGCCCGCTCGGTCCGGTCCCTGGAGTACCGCCTGTCACCCCCGCGCCGCCCGCCGCCGCCGCAGACACAGCCGAGGCTCGCCATTCATTCTCATGCGATGTGGCGGCCGTTTTTTCGGCGGTGCGCAGCGCGACTCGCCCCCGCCGCCGGCGCGCCGGAAGCGACTCGTTGACGCGCAGATTGGAGGCCATTGTGGGCTGCCGCTCGACACCCGTGGCAAGTATTCCGCGCGGCGTCGCCCGCGATGCGACTGATTTAACGTGTAACTCTTGAGGGCTGCGACTGCCGCGCCGTCCGTCGTCGCTCGGGCAGAGTTCGGCTGTCGTTTACACTCTGTATCAGACTGAGCGGCCCGATCTGAGACCCCGCCGCCAGATCAAAAGCAGCGCGCTCTCTATGGGCGCATTGATTCGATAACCTCTCATGGCGTGTCATCAGCCGCTGAGGGGAGCTGCGGCCCGGCCGCGCGCTCGGCTCGCCGGTTAGTTAGCGTCCGGCGCCGGTAAACTTCAGGGCGCGATCCCGTTCAGCGGTGCTGACGTCTGTTCCAATTGCGATGTCGTCTACGGTGGTGCGCGCGGTTTTTCTCTCGAATGTAAGCACAGCCGGGATTTAAATGTTTTCATTTGCTAAAAAGGACAAACAGCGGGTTGTTCGGCGTTTGGCGGTGGCGGATCAAACGCACCGCCGGCGCGCCGTCTTTGATCTCGCCGCCTGACCTCGCAGCACGTGCGGCCGGCCGGCGCGCCGGCGCGCCCATGACGCTGTAACTTTACCCGGCCTCGGCGGCCCGCTGCACGCCCGCACCTCATAAACGTCGGCAATTGGCAGGCGGGCCGCGCGGCGGCGGTGGTGGTCGCCGAGTCTCGGAGGCTGCGCGCCGCGCCGCTTCCGTCGCTGTGCGCCGCTGTTTGCCGCCGCCGCGGTCAAACAGTGCGGCTCGCGCGCGGCGCACGGCGTCAACAGCGCGCCGGAAGCCGGCGATTGGCGCGCCGGGCCGCGCGGGTCGCCCGACCGGATCCCATGAGCGCGCGACCGCCGTGCGCCGGAACCGGCCGACCGGTGCCGGTCTGTGGGTCAGGCGCCGGTGCCGGTCTCCGCGCCGGCCGGCCGGCCGCTCCGGCCGCCGCGCCGCCGAGAAGCACCGGTAATGACGGTCCTCTCCGGCCGCTGCCGCCCACCGTCTGCGCGCGAGCGCTCCGTCAATTTGTCATTTCTGCGGCCAATCAGCGGCGCAAAAACAGTGTCGGCGCGGCCGAGAGAGCGGCTGTCGGCCGCCGTGAGAACGGGCGCCGCGCTCGGGCGTCTGGGCGCCGCTGCTCCCCCGCCGGATGTGATGAAGGTGGACCGGACGCGGCCGGGCGCCGTGGGAAAAGGGTTAAATCCAGGGTAACCGGAGACGGCTACCGAGGGGACGGGTGGAGAGCGGCGGGCCGGGGACAGTGAAATGGGGAGCTGCTGCTCATCGCGCGGCGGCCCGGGAGTGGTTTGGAGGGGTGGTGGGGTGCGGTGACGGTCGGTGGGACGCGGTGGAGAGGGTTTTGGAGACCAGTGGAACAGCTGAGACGGTGTTGGCAGATTCCTGCAGTCGGTTTGGATTACGCTCCCTCCCAACCACGCCGTGGCTGGTGAAGAGATATGGACCTGGCCGTGACAGACACTCAGACAGGTAGACGGACATATTTATTACGAGTGTATCCAGCTGTCGCGCCCGTCGCTGTCCGGTCTCGGACAGATAAACACAGTCCGGACAGCGCAGGCCACTGCGCTGATGTCAGCTGTTTGGGGCCGGCCTGCCAATGGATATCGACTGTCTTACCCCTAGACAATGAATGGGGGTTTTAGGTCTAAGAGCTGAAATCGAATTTATTAGTCGATATAAGTGAGGATCACCGTGTAATGTCCCGATCGCTGATGTAGAACACCGCTCACTGCCTGCTCTCTGACGACCAAACAGCTCGGCTCAGCTCCGGCTGACCGAGCTGCCGACAGCCGCTGGGCAGCTGGCCGCTGACCCGTCCGGCGCCCACGGCAGTGACCGCCCCCCCCCCCCTCCGGTGGGCTACTCCCGGCCGTGTTGGCACCGACCACCGGCCGCCGGAGCCGCCGGCGGGGCTTGAATGAGTTGTAGTGGCGTTCTCGGCGGCGGCGGCGGCGGTGGTAGCGGTGCCTGGAGTGCCGACTGCGGCGGTGGGTGGCGGTCCCGGTGTTGCATTTGGCCGCTTCCGTGACGTGTGTGACCAACTCTCGGAGCCGTGTGAGTACACGTCGCTGTCAGTCCCCAACCCATTCCGATATTTTGATAGCCGCTGAACCTTGCAAAGTCTCACTCAGTGGTCGGTCCTGCTGGCCCACCGCCGCGCCGGCGGCTCCTGCTCGCACCGTAAACCCTGTCCACGGACCCTGCGTCGCCCGTCCCGAATGAATGACCGACCGACCGTCCGACCGGCCGCTCGGGGCCGATTTTGCCGACTCAGGGCTCTGCGGCGACTCTGACGCACCCCGCGCCGGGAACGTCAACTGCGCGCCGCCGCCGGCCGCGCCGCTCGGGGCCGCTGCTCGTTTTTCGCACGGTAATTGCACCGGCGCTGGTCTGTTTGCGATCTAATTAAACGACTCTGGAGCCAAGGCCGGCGGCGGGCCGGGCCATTGTTGGGAGCTCCTCGCCCCGCTGCTGCTGCCTCTCTGGTGCTGATAGAGGTGGGGGTGGAGGCTTTGTCACGAGTGACACGTCGCGCCGAGACTCGGCCTCAGATCAGATAGCGTCGTCTCTGTTTTGATTTATCCAACACTTTCCTTCAGTTCAACAGAATTGGAATGAAGTGTCTTATGTCTCTGGGTACCTCAGGGCTTATCTGGGCGTGGCTGCACGGTCATTTCACTGCTAAGATAATGAGCTATCCCCAACACAGCACTAGATTTGCCTATTCTGCGCTATATCGGACGAATTGAATGTTTTCACCGACGGCCGTTCTGCGGTGAATGCTGCTCTCATAATGTCCTGACGTCTGTCGGGGGCTGTATCGCGTTTGCACGCTTCGGTGCGCGGCTTTCAGCGCTGCAGCCATGCTGCGCTGTTCGGTACCGGTCACGGTACATGGTGATGTACGCGCGAGAGGGTAGTCGGTACCGGGCCGGTGGATATCACCCCGTTCACCGGTCCGGTCCGGCCGGACCGTGGCGACATGTCGAACATGTGTCTGGGGACGGGGCGGACGGTGTCGCGACGTCTGGCCTGTCGCCGTCACTGCGGCGGACCGCAGCTCGGCACAGCGCGGCGCGGATCATTACTGAGGTGCTCCGAGCGCCGGTCAGTCGGCCAGTCCGCCGTGTTTCTGGACAGCCTTGGAGCCGACCCGCAGCCATCCATCTTCTCACACCGTCGTGTAGTGGCCGGCCAGGTGGCGGTCGGACAGGTCTGTGAGCCGCCGCCGTCCGTGGGGTCTGCCCGGGACGGCGCCGGGCCCAGCCGCTCGTTAGGAGCGTGCAGAGCCGTGCAGAGCGGGCCCAGAGCACGTGTGGTGAACTGGCGGTCAGCTGAGCGGTGGGGCGCCGAGAAGGGGGAATAAGAGGGGGCTCAGGCCCTGCCGGCTGGGTAGCCGGTGTTTGGGAGAGATTTTGATGAGCTGTCGATGTGACCTGAGCTGTGTCATGAGACTTTGCCCGATGTTCGACCGTTGACTGTTGACCTTATATAGCAGCATGACGTACTGTTTTGTAAACTCCGTGCGACATGAAACCGGTGACCTCTTTGTGAGTGATGATGTCTGAAATCAGCCGTCATTCGGTCCGTGTTTTCTACCGGAAATTACCACCCGATGCCGGTGACCTGACCTGACCTGACCGGCTCTCTCCTTCTCTCGACAGGTGCATACGGAGCGCAGATGGCCGAGCCGATGCAGGGCATGGGCGACGAGCCGCCGGCCTACGTGCCGCAGCACTACGAGCCCGAGTACCCGCACATGGCCGACCCACACCACCCACCGTACGCCGAGTCCGGCTCGCCAGAGTTCTACCCGGCCTCGGGGCTGGAGCTCAAGTACCGGCCGCCGCACAAGCTCTACCCGCCCGCCTCGCGCTACGAGGGCTACGCCGACCACTACGGGCCGGGCGCGGGCGGCTTCGGCGGCGAGCAGCACTACCAGACTGTACCGCAGGCGGCCGAGTGGCACCCCGAGCTGATGGGCCACGGGCCGCCGCACCCGGCCTTCCTGCCGCCGCACCACCGGGCTCTCGATTCGCCGCTGCAAGCCGAGGTCAAACCGGGCATGATGACGCCGGGGTACCCGCAGGGGGGCGCCGGGCCCTGCTTCACCGGCTCCGGACCCATCCAGCTGTGGCAGTTCCTGCTGGAGCTGCTGACGGACAAGTCGTGCCAGAACTTCATCTCGTGGACCGGCGACGGCTGGGAGTTCAAGCTCACCGACCCGGACGAGGTGAGACACCTGGCGGATGATAGGGAACTAGCGAGAGCTCTGGTGGATGGCAGGGGAACTAATAGAGCTGCTCGAGATGCTCTGTTCTTTTTATCTATTAGGTCTCATTATCCGGAGTGGTTCTATTTGTTTCTTAAAGTTCGTAAGTGATGATTGATGATAAAGTTGAAACGTTATTTAGCCGCAAAAATAAACTGTAAAAGTTAGATGTTTTGCCTTTCATCATTGTGCTTGACAGCTCGTACGATATATTCGTCCCTGCATATATTTGTCAAGTCCTTGTAACATACCGGCACATCTAACCGTGTTTCTGTGACCGCAGGTGGCCAGAAGGTGGGGTAACCGCAAGAACAAGCCAAAGATGAACTACGAGAAGTTGAGCCGGGGGCTGCGATATTACTATGACAAGAATATCATCCACAAGACGGCCGGCAAGCGCTACGTCTACCGGTTCGTCTGTGACCTGCAGAGCTTACTCGGGTGAGTTCGCAGTCACAACTCACAATCACTACCCACAGTCGCAACTCAGAATCACAGTCACTACAGCGCTAGCTACTCACCTGCGTCGATGATTGAGACTGCTCTTGTCAGGCTGTTTCTTTTGATGCTAGCTCAGCTCTGAATAGGTAATTGACGGTGAGCGACGGTATGGTACGCTCGATTTATAATCTACGAATTGATATTAATATCATAAGGTTTATCGTGTTGTGCTAGGTCTACGCACCGAGCTGTGGATGTGTTGTTAGACCCTGGCTGCCCTCTGTCCCGTTGTTCTGTCGGGCAGTTAGGGCACTGCTGACGGCTCCCCCTCTCTCCCTCCACTGACGACTAACGTCCCCTCTCTCTTCTCTGCAGGTACACCCCGGAGGAGTTGCACGCCATGGTGGACCTGAAGCCGGACAAGAAGGAGGACGACTGAGCGTCCCCCTCCGGCCCTGCGCTCCCCTCTTCCAGTCCAAAGATGGCGCCACCGGGCGCGCGGCGGGCGCGCCGGCCGGCCGCTCGGGCCTGGCGAACTGTACCTGAAGCGTTAGTTCGCGCGCCCGCCGCACCGCGGCGCCACCGGAGTGAACGGCTCCGGCCGAGTCATCGGACCGTCTCAGCAAGAGAAGTGATCTTAAAGGACTTATTGTTTGACTAGTCTGCCGGTGGCCGGTCTGCGGCCGCCGGCCGTCGAACTGACCGAGTTTTGATGATTTTACGCGCTGACATCGCACGTCAGTCCGCTGGCTGTCTGAGCAAGCCGCGGGGCGTGTTTTGAGTCGCTCCAGGCCCGGTCCTCCTCCACCGAAATCTACCGTCTTTCGGGGAGGGACCACCGGCCGGGCGACTCATGCTCAAGTCCGCCCGCGATGCGGTGGATGTGCTTTTCTACCGGTTTTGGCCGGCGCTGTAGCGGCGTTGTGAGGTTGTTCGGAGGCGTCGTGCCGGCGGCGGCGCCTCCTCTCATGTTATTCGGGCCTCGGTCGCCGAGTTCATAGTGCCGGGCGGCGCGGGCCGCCGCTCTGGGTGGCCGCAGATGCTGTGTTACTCCGCTTCGAGCCGCCGTGCCCGGTCAGTCAGATCTGTTATTTGTTGTCGGTGTCTCGGAGGTCCCTGTCGATATTGGACCCGCTCGGGCGCCACCCCTGTTTTCCACCGCGAGTTTCTACCTTTGACAGCGCTCCGTTCAGTCCGACGTGATACAGGTGTGGTTATTTATTGCGGGCGCCGCGCCGCGCCGCGCCGCTCCGTCTTCCGGCCGGCGTGTGGCGCTCCGAGTGTTGTGATCTCGCCGAGACCGGTCGTGTCGCCGCCGGCGGTCCCGGGGCCGCCCCCCTCCCCCCACCCCGACCGCCGACCCCTCCCCCCAGCGGCGACCGCCCAACTGCGAAGCATTACTCCCAGGCTTAATTACATTTTGTTTACGCATATCATTTGTTGAAAATGATGCCACATAAAGTGCCTTGTACATATGACGTACGTGTGTAATTATTTTTGTAACCGATATGATCAACCTGACAAATTGTAGTATTTGAGAGTGCATTTGAGTGAAAAGTGAGATGACAAATATAGACATGTTGTATCAACAAATTGTTTGAATACACGAGCTGCAAATGTGCTAAGTTTGTCGATTTTTTAGCATCCACATGCGTCGTAAATGGTTTAGTTGACATGGGATAGGAAAGTAACGGTTTCTGTTTCCGCCGTTTGTGTAGCTTATCAGGACTCTAAGCAAGATAACGGTACAAAGGCAATCGGCGTAACCCCACTTTATGGCACCGTTATGTCATGCAAGTGTTCTGAATTACACAAGAGCGTCGCAGTTAGCCCAAAACTGATAAACGCAAACATCAAGTAATCCTGATATACTGAAGTCAACAATACTGCTGGATGAGTAGTAAGGATATCTCAAGCAGATTTCTGCATTAAGGGCGAATTACTTCTTCGAAATGGTAGGCATACGAATTTTCACGACTTGTCATCTCCGAAAATAGACTCATTAGTTTGCACTAAACGTTTGTAGTCACAAATCGAGTACCTGCTGGAAACTGGATCTGATCTGACTGATCGCCAGCTCGAGAGCTGCGATGATACCCGGAGTTTTGGAGTGTCCTCCAGTCCCACAGCTGTAATACCCGGAGTTTTGGAGTGCCCTCCAGTCCCACATCTGTAATACCCGGTGGTTTTGGAGTGGCCTCCAGTCCCGCACCTGTGACACCCGGTGGTTTTGGAGTGGCCTCCAGTGTGAAGGGTCGGCGCTCAGCTGGAGTGGCCTCTCGATCCCCGCTGTTTGCCGATACACTCATCCAACCAGCTCAGTTGCAGTGTTCCCCGTAAAATGACAATGTTTGCACAGGGGGCGCATCGGTCAGCTGCGAACGGCCGAGCCGAGGGTAATAGGCAGGGGACGTTAAAATCGGCACACTGCACTGGTGACGTCATTACAGGGCTCTGGTGACGTCAAACACCAGGACAATCGTGACGTCATTACAGGACACTGGTGACGTCATAAAACTGAACACTCGCTTCGTCAAATTAACGAACGCACTGGTGACGTCAAATGAGGAACCATAGTTATTTCAGGATACTAGTGACGTCAAAATAGAGAACCGATGGCGTTGCAACAAGGCATTAGAAACGTCACACTATGTATGCTAATGGCGTCACCCTGGCACATTGTGACGTCACACTGGGACACTGGTGACGTCATCGGCGTGTCGGATCAGCGTGGAGAGCCTGTCAGCGCTCAATGGCCTTTTGACCGTTCCCGTTTATTGTTCGGCACTTGTGACACCTCCTGCCGATTCAGCTGTTAAAACAATCCGGTGTCGATGAGTGCCTCAATGGCATGCCCTCAGCTGGTGTTTTGTGATACCTGTTTGGTGATTGGATTGCTGTTCGTTTTATTATGCTCTTATAGGTAAGTACCGTCTTGAATTGAAATGAGCAGAGCGATAAACGTCTAGATAATTGAGTCGGGTAGGCATGTATGTGTTACAGGCCGTATGAAAACTCAGTCCGTTTGCAAACGGCCTGACCCGATTCAGGCCGTTTGCAAACGGCCTGGACAGCCCAGTCAGTATGCAAACGGACTGAAAAGTCAGGCCGTTTGAATACGGGCTGAAAATTGAAATTCCAGGCTGTATGCAAACCGCCTGAAATTTCAGGCCGTTTGCAAACCGTCTAGGCCGTATGACAACTTTCCAGACACCAGGCCGTTTGCAAACGGTCTAGGCATTTTGAAAACAATCTGGTCTGCATGAAGTTACAGCTGGACAATGTTGAGTTTGTTGAAGCACGACCGTTTCATGACATTACATGGCACCATGAAATCCTAAGGTGCATTCGGCATCCGGAAAAATATTGTCACTCGGATATTCTCCGTCAGAAAATTATTGTTGAGCGCCCATCTTCAGCATGTCTCGTTATCGCGATACCTCGTGATCCCTGATGATTCTCGCTAGTTCTGGAAAATTATCCCTGATTTTCCCGATGACGAATGCAGGCCTGGTCAGAAAGAGATTGGCAGAACTGAGACCCTGCCCGTATAGCGCCCGGTCGACCCGGGCTTCCCCCGGACTTCAAAGTTTCGCCTTCCACCGCAATGGTCAAGTATTGCCGGCGTACGCCACTGCACCGGCCAGCCGCCGGCGGTCGACCGGGCGCGGTGAGGACTCTAATGTGAACCAGTGGCGCGGGAACTTCTTCCAGACTGGGGGGGGGGGGGGGGCTGAATGATAATAGAGATCAACCTAGGGTACCTCCAAATCTAGTTTTCTCACCGGTGCGTATGAATCTATGAAATTATGTTGGTAGATTTCCGATTTGGCGATTCCTCCAGCTGGGGGGGGGGGGGCTCAAATACATTACGAGCCCCCCCCCCAGCCGAAAAGTTGGAGGGGCTCAGCTCCCGCTAGCCCCCCCCCCCCCCCGGTTCCCGCGCCACTGATGTGAACTCTGATGTCTATTGCGCGCTCCTGCGTTTTATGCCGCAAAATAATCGGGGAGTCTTGTAGTGATACGTTTCACCAGAATTCACCAGTAGTGGCTTCACCAGGCTCCATCAACTGGATGGCCGTACACAGGCGGACCGTGGACTTGTATCATTAGTAATATTGTCGAAAAACGTCCGGGCCGAGCATCAGCACAGTAAGAAAATGTTCGACGCATGTAGACGAGTCATTCGGCATGGAATGCGCAAGCATTCACATGGATGTAACCTGATCATCGACCAACCTGGATCCATTAAGTTCAATCTTCAGAGGCTGTTGTACTTCGCCAGACCGTTTGAAAACTGACTAGACTGTTTTCAAAATGTCTAGGCCGTTTCAAACTGCCTAGGCCGTTTTCATACGGCCTGATATTTCAGGTGGTTTGCAAACGGCCGGCTTTTTCAGGCCGTTTTCAAACGGCCTGACTGGGCCAGGCCGTTTGCAAACGGACTGGGTTTCCATACGCTCTGTAACATATGCACTTAGCTGGGCATGTGTCGAGTTATTCCGACACAGTTAAAATGATGAGACTCGGAGAATCCTACCAAACTTTGGCAGGTGAAAATACTAGTCGGGGTGGGGGGGGGGGTCACGAGTTACGACCTCTCTCGTCATTTCTTGTGAATATCTTTAACGGAGTATTCATCACGCTCTTGTTCCGCACTTCTTAGCTATTGCGAACTTGATTTTTAGGTTGCCTGAGGTCAGGTCACCAGGTCATGTCTGGTGACCTACTTCGAAAGAACCGTCTTGCCCAAAGGCATCGAACTAGCGAAAAAAAATCCTGATCTCTGACTAAACAACATTCTAGATAATTTTCCTCGCCATCCTTTCTAAAGTCAAGGCTACCGTTTGCCACTGCTTGGCCTAGCGACGAAGTTATGGGGACGTGACGTTCCCCTCGCTTTGATTTGATACGACCACGGCGCCGGTACGGGCTAATGCACGCCACCTTATATTATACCTATCCGTCCATATAGGGCCATCCTGCTCAGCAACATTGAACAACACCATGCATGGTTATTGCGACGTAGAACCCATTCGCCCACTCCTTAGGTCCAGTGGCGGATCCAGGGGGGGGGGGGCAAAATGGGCATTTGCCCCCCCAAAAGGCATGATTTTAACATTACGCCTATGGACGATGCATGGAAAGAATCGATAAATTTTTATGGTTTGCCCCCCCCCCCCAAACCTCTGAGCTGGATCCGCCTCTGCTTAGGTCATCGGCTACAAATACAAAATCTGCGGCCTATCTACGCCGACTGCCCACTGGCTAAGCGCGGCCTCTTGTCCGGCGCATCAGACCTGCTATCTGTCTGAACACGGCGATGATACGGCTAAGTACAGACCCCCGAGTGGTTCGCTAACAGTCGGCCGGCCGCTCAAGAGGCCCGGCCTGTTGACGGTAGATAAGTGTTCGCTTTCTCAGTGGTCAGCTAACGCCGGCCGAATTTGCTGATGGCGTGGGACGGTCATGCATAGGTATGCTATCGTCTGTAAGCGGACTGGAATTTGGCGTCGGTTTTGTTTGCTCGACGGTATTAATCAGCACTAGCTTATGAACCAAATTAAATATGAAAATATTTGAAGAGGGACGGTGATATGCGTTGTATTGGGGTCCTTCTGCACGGGGACCGCTGCCCAGCGCAGTTGTCCGGATTGACATCTGTGACGTCTGAGGTCAAAAGGTCGCGGGACGGGGTATTCTGGAGCGGCAAATACAGAACGAGAATCACAGCACGAGAGTGTAGACGTGGCGGTGGCGGCAGAGCTCACGGGAGTTGGAGGAAGGTATGTTGACATAAAATACTGTCTTATATAGATAATCAAACTATCCCCACATACCTACAGTTTCATCAGAATGCATTTTTGACTTTCGTATCATTCATTAACTACATCTGGATAAGCCAGCGCACTCTTACCGGCCGTCCCGCTCGGCCGTCCTCCCAACTCCTCTCCGCTCAGCGGGGGGTCTTGCGGGGCATGTACCGTCTCACCGGCGGCGGCGAGTGCCGTGTGCACCGCCTATCGCCGCGCCGAGCTGTGGTCATGTGCATTACGTTAGTGCCGTGCGCTATCGAGATAGCGTCGCAGAAAATGGCCGACGATGTACTGACTGTTTCAATCATTGCATTGTGTGAATAACCGGAGAGATAACGTAATCACGACATGCGTCGTAACTTCTGCCTCCGACTAATTCTTCTGCGATTATTGGGATTATCAGACTCGACAGTCGCACAACGGGAAAAGTCGCAGCTGTCGGACGCCCAGACATCAATCAGAGCGGCTGTTCGCATTGTGCGGGGTATTCTATTATTCCTAACACCCCTCTCTGATCTGTGCGCCCGAGTCTGCTCCCCGACTGTCCGAGTGACCCAGTCGAGGCGCCGCCCGCGGCCCCGAGACGGCCCACCGTCGGACGCCGGCCGCGCCGCACCTCGATAATGCAATGTTTGCCGCCGTCCTCGATAGGCCGAAACATTAGCCCAATCTGGCCCGATAGCCTCGGCGGCTAAGTGAGAGCCGCGTCTTTTATGCGATAGCCGGCGGAGGATAAACACCATGATTTACACAGGAGCCGATACGGACTTGGACACGGGCGCCGGCAAATAGGCCCGAAGATCAACATA